TGCTGAAAAGCACCGCCTTCACCGTGCTTATCAGAACGACGCATCATCAACAGCTAAGAAAAATGCCTTCAACAACACTCGCAGGGCCATACAGAGCAAGCTTCTTTACAAGATGCAGGACTCCTGGTTGAGTGCCAAAGCAGAAATTCAGAACTTTGCTGATAGAAACTATGCCAAACGGTTCTATGAAGCCCTCAAATCCTTGTACATGTACAGAATGCCCCCTGAAAATGTCATTCCTGCTTGAATGATTGGCTTATGGATATTCCCAGAAGTCTGCACTAAGATGCACGTCAGAGTTTAGCATCCCTGCAAAAAAATGTAATTTTTGTAAGATACTCCCAAAGGGAAAACAGGTCTAAAGTGATGCAGAACCTGTAGTTTTCCTCATTAGAAACCTTCAGGTGCAGCAGCTGATTGATGATTATAAAACCACTCCCATACACATTCACTCTGCACATGAACAAACACAAACAAACAGCTATTTCTTCAAAAAAACAAAAAGGTAGGACTCTGCAACAAAGTTTGTTAAAATCCTTGCAGTGTACATAGATCACCCAGACGGGAATATTTTTTTCTCGACAAAAGTGCAGTTACACTTTAACATTCATTAATCAAAATGTACATTTACTTTTTATATTTTTTTGTGATGTTAAAGAGTAAGACAACCTACTGAATACCTTATCTTTAATTGAACTCTTCATTAATTTTGTAAGATACACAGCCAACTAAGTGCAGTGTCTTGTGGTCATGCACTGGACAGCAAGGTGCAGCTGTCTGGAGTATGTGCATGTAGCACAGTGGTTTAGGGTAAGAAACAAACAGCATGACATATAGAGTAGCTGTCTATAATAAAAGCCCCTTTACATTAGCGGTTAGTATAAACAGGGCTGCTGTTAGAAACCACGGGGTCCCTTACAGTCAACCTGACAGGGCCCCCCCAAACCACAAGGCCCCATACAGCCAACCTAACAGGTCCCCACCACGCACAAAACACAGTTTACTATGCTTCAGTTGTGCATGAACACAACTGAAGCATAGTACCGATCGGTGCCAATCACTCACTGTGTTCATTCCGGAAAGGAAAGGGCTGGTAAATTACTGAAACTGATCCCCTGTATTTCTTTCTCTGCAGCAGCTGAAAGCCAGTGGAGAGGGGGAGAGGAGAAGAAGCCAGCTTTCAGCTACTGCAGAGAGAGCCATACAGGGGATCGGTTCCAGTAATTGCCCCCCCACTACCGTGCTGATCACCCTCCCTGCCCACATCTGATTCACCCAGCTGCCTGGGCCCTATGCAGAAGGACTGGTGGTAACCCCTTATCAACGGCCCTGAGTATAACTGCTACCATTACATCAGTTGTCGATGCATGTTACACATAGTTGCTAAATGGGACAGTGTCTAAAATATCAGGACTGTCCTGCAAGATCCATGAACATATAATGTGGCATTAACATTTGACCACTATGTATAACACACACTTTACATTGACTACTAATGCAATAGGGGCATTTATATTAACCAATAACTTAAAGGATAAGTTCACCTTTGGATTTTTAGAGTGGAACGTGTAACATGTTCCTAATGTTGCAGTCGCTGTCCTGCTCCGCTGCATCTAATGGGACAACAATCGGGGGATCTTCTGCTAGCTGTCACTATTAAAAAAAAAAAAAAGAGTTCTTTCAATGGGAAACTACAGCTCCCAACATCCTTTGCAGCTGTTGGCTTGTAGTTCATTGTGTCTTCCCGTCAATGTGTATCAGCCTGCCTATACAAGGTACAAGCACACAGATACACTGACAAGTCTGCAGGAGTCCTCTTTTTACCTGCAAAAAAATGTGCATTTATTATTTTCTACTAAAAAGTGAACTTATCCTTTAAGGCTAGGTTCACATCTGTGCGGGTGGTGCCGCTGCGGATCCGCACGAAAATCTGTGCAGCCGCTCGCACTGGAAAATGCAACCATACTGGGAACCAAGGTTCCCGTGCGGGCTACGTTTTCAGAAGAAGTGCAGGGACTTCTTCCCTGCGTGTCACGGGCATGGGAGTCCATTCAAATGAATGGGCTCTCGTGTTCGTGCAAAACGCGGCCCGCACAGCTGCATATATGTGAACCGGGGCTAAATGAGCTTTCATTATTGGCAACTACTAGGCTGTATTACAGGATCCAGGACACTGTGCAGAGTGGCACATGTTGGAATGCTCTTGATTACAGCACCTAGCACCGTAATTATGTAGACATAGCTTTGGATCCCAAGGGGCTTATTGTTCCTTCCACAGACGCAATGGGGCTTTTTTTTGTACCCACAAAAGAGAACATTTTGAAGAGTAGGTTCATAGTCAGGGTCGAGGCAGGCAGAACAGGTTTATGATCAAGATCACAGGTCAAGGTTACTACACATATAACTACAACGAGCAAGAGCAAGGCTTTAGCAATGGGCAAGAAACATGAAACAGTAAGAGGTTTAAAAAGTGTTGTGATTTCTTGTGAAGGAGGCCAGTGATGGGTACTGGGATTGTACAAACAAAAGGAAATGGCAAAGAATAAACTACCCTCCAAGGCACCACAAAGCACCAAGTCCTTGGTTAAATTCAAAGCCCCTATACCATGCAGTGCTGGTCCTATGTCTACAGACACCCATACTGGGACATACTGAAGATATATTGGGTGCAGACTTATCTGTAGGTTACTCTGCTCCTACTGTGCTAAAGACATGAACATGGCAACTGCTCAGTCATATTAAATGAAGCAAGCACTATGCACATTGGGTAGGGCAAGTTGTTGTGTACAAAATGCACAAAGTTCTAATGCTCAGATTTGCTAGTCAGCAAAGTGAACTTGTTTCTAATTCACCATCCAGCGACTTAGTTTGTCATTAGAGTCAGTCAGTTAATGCCAACAAGTCATAAATGCAGTTAATAAACACATAATACCAGGAAAAAAGCTCTGAAAATAATGTAAGCTTGCAATGATCTGTTAACTTCATTAACTACTGTGGCCTGTGTACACAGTAAAAGTTCATAATGTTTATGTTTTTAACTTTTTATTATCTTTTGAAAGATCTTTCTTTGGGTTAAGAGTGCTGAAAGAACATAAACAGGCAGCATTTATGACATGGTCTTTTCCTTGAAGATGGCGTGAACTAATGGGCAAATTAAATAAATAATGTTATTATTTTATTTTTTAACATGTTTAATATCTGTCATTATACATTGTGTATACGTCATGTGTTTTACATATAAACTGCCGAAACTAACTGCCATGCCAAACATCTTGGAGAACTAACCACAGATCTTCAGTGCATGTACTGTAAGCTGCCTCAGATCTTTCTGTCTCTTCATGCAATCTCAACAGACTCGATGTTGAGATTAGGGTTCTGTAGGGCCAAACTATCACTTTCAAGATTCCTTATTATTTTTTAAACTGATGATAGTTCTTAAAGTGTTACTAAACCCAGGACCCCACATTCACTATATTTGGTCTCCCACAGTACACAGAACATTGGAATGCAATTATTTTTAGTAAATATACACTGCTAAATACCTTTTCTCATCAGCAGTTAGTGCAGTCTTGTGACTTCTATCAGTGTCCAGCTGAGCACTGGCTAAAGCTTGTAGGAGGAGTTTTCATTCTTCCCTGATTGTCCTATGAGGCTGCATAACCCCTGACCCTCTGTCTGGACAGTGTTGATTGGCCCTGTGCTGATCACATGCACTCTCCCAAGAAAAGAGAAACTCTTTGGCAATACACACCAAACTAAGCATCTGTGGCTTGCCCCCAAGGCTCTGGTCTATCAGCAGATGGACCAGGGGCAGTAGAAGAAGGGGAGGATCAGAGAAGACCGGATAAAACCTTTTTACACACTAAGGAGAATTAACCCCTTAGGGTCCACAGAGAGTGTAACAAGCATGCGTTACTGCATGTACAGACTGATTTACTGTTGTGGGTTTAGCAACACTTTAATGAAATTGGCTGCATGCTTGGGTCTCCCTGATGCTATTGCATACTAGAAAAGTATCTGCCTGTAATTCTCAGCATTGAGGACACCTTTGATCCTGATCAAATCTCCTACTCTATTTGCAGAAATGCAGCCCCAAACTTACAAGGAACCTCCATCATGCTTCACTTGTGCTTGCAGACACTCATTATTGTACCACTGTCTGGCCCTTCAGTGAACAAACGTCCTTCTGCTATAGCCAAATATTTCAAAATTTGACTCATCAGTCCAAAACACCTGCTGCCGTTCTTGTGCACCCAAGTTCCTGTTTTTAATGTACAGTTTGGTTGCTTTTCCTTGTTTCTACATCTGAGGTATGGCTTTTTGGGTGCAGTTCTTCCATGAAGATCACTTCTGGCCAGACTTCTCTGGACCATGGAAGGGTGTACCTGGGTCCCAATGGTTTCTGTCAGTTCTGTGCTGATGGCTCTGCTGGACATCTTCTGATGTTGAAGGGAAGTAAGCATGATGTGTCTTTCATCTGTTGCATTAAATTGCTTTGATCGACCACTGCGTCTACGGTCTTCAATGTTGCCTGTTTCTTTGTGCTTCTTCAAAAAAAGCTTGAACGGCACATCTTGAAACACCAGTCTGATTTTAAATCTTTGCCTGGGAGAGACCTTTCTGATGCAGTATAACTACTTTGTTGGTGTGCTCAGTCTTCTCATGGAATATGACCTGTGACATGAACCTATCTTCCACAGCCTCACCTTAGTAGCAGAGTTTCACTGTTCCTCACCCAGTATGAAGCCTCCCAAACAGCTGTTTCTGTTTCAGTTAAAGACTGTTTCAATCTACATAAGAAATTGATGTTTATTAGCACCTGCTTGATATCATTGGTTAATCATACACCTGACTCTAATCTTATAAAATTCCTGACTTTGTGCAAGTGTGCAAAAGTAGGAATTGATGCTGGTTTGAAGCAAAAGGGAAGTTACACCAAATATTGATTTGGTTTAGATTTTTCTTTGCATTTTGTAAATTGATAAAAATAAACAATTAAAATACACTATATTGCCAAAAGTATTGGGACCAGGGGCGGACTGACCATTTGGAAACTCGGGCACTGCCCGAGGGCCCGGGGTCAGTAGGGGGCCCCATGAGATCACCCTGGTACCTTTTTCATAGGCTTTTTTGAGTTTGGGCAAGGACACAGGGGCCCCATGATCCCCTATTGCCCGGGGGTCCCATGAGTTGTCAGTCCGCCCCTGATTGGGCCTTTACACACACATGAACTTTAATGGCATCCCAGTCTTACTCCGTAGGGTTCAATATTGAGTTGGCCCACCCTTTGCAGCTATAACAGCTTCAACTCTTCTGGGAAGGTTGTCCACAAGGTTTAGGAGTGTGTCTATGGGAATGTTTGCTTTAAATCACTGCATTCTATGAAGCTCTCTATGCACTGTTGTGCTAATCTGAAGGCCACATGAAGTTTGGAGGTCTTTAGCTATTGACTCTGCAGATAGTTGGCGACTTCTGTGCACTGTGCGCTTCAGCATGTGCTGATCCCGCTCTGCCATTTTACATGGCCTACCACTTCTTGGCTGAGTTGCCGTTGCTCCCAGTTGCTTCCACCTTGTTATAATACTAACAGTTGACCGTGGAATATTTAGTAGCTATCATGGCACCACGCTTGAATTCTCTGAGCTCCTGAGAGTGACCCATTCTTTCACAAATGTTTGTAGAAGCAGTCTGCATGTCTAGGTGCTTGATTTTATACACCTGTGGCCATGAAGGTTATTGGAACACCTGAATCCAATGATTTTGAGGGGTATCTCAATACTTTTGGCAATATAGTGTATATATTTTTGAAAACATTCATACTTTACAGCATCAACTCACACCTGCCTAAAACTTTTGTGCATTACAGTATATCCAGCCAATGTTATTTTCAGTGCACACTGAGAGGGAGTGCTGTCAGTGCACATTGATACTTAATGCCTCCTCTGTAGTTGCTTCTCCTGTAAACTCAGATGGCAGTGCCAGGAGGAGTATAGAGAGCGGGAGCACGTTGCTGAAGCAGGAGGTAAAATGCTGGGAATGGCAGTGCTGAATGCAGACTGTGGAAAGAAGGAGCAGAGAGCAGGAGCATGTTGTTGAAACAGGATGTGACATCCTGTGCATGGCAGTACTGAAACAATTGTATATGCTATATATATTTTTATTTTATTTTTTTTTTTACACAGAAGTGGAGTTACACTTTAAGGATCTCTAAAGCCAAAAAAGTTTTCTTTATTAGTTTTGTATAGAGTAGAAGATGGCTAAAAACCCCTTGACAGTTTTATTTTTTGCCATCTGTGTCCCGATGTAAACGTTTCCTTTTATACCTCTGTAGACACAGGCCAGGCAATAGAGGGATACAAGCATCCCTCCCATACCACCCCTGTACACCATTAGGAAAGCAGGGGGCCTGGCAGGGAGTTCAGCAGGATAAACTGTGGTGGAAGGGGGTACCTTTTCAGGCAGGCTATACTAGATCACTCTTAGCAAATAGTCTTTCAAAAAAGGATCATTTGGGTGGGAAGATGCTATCCTGGCATTTCAGAGCTTCTGAAACTGTAATAGGCAGTTGAGAAGTGAAATCAGGAAATTAAGAACCTTCAGGCTTTTAACGGGGTTACTGAATTTCGGGCACCTGTATGGAGCTAGGCTCCCAAAAAATCTCACATATGTGGTATCCCCATACTCGGAAGAAGTAGCAGAATATATTTTGATGTGTACTTCCACAGATACTCATGGCATGTGTAAGCAATATATCATTTAAGTAACAGCTTTGTGTGTTAAAAAAAAAAAGTTGTCATTTTCCAAAAATATATCTTCCATTGACTCAACATGCCTCCCAGAAAATAGTTTGGGGTGTCTACTTTCAAGAAAAGTATCATTTGGAGGGGTTTTGTGCTATCCTGGAGTTTCAGAGTCTCTGAAACTATGATAGGTAGTGAGGAAGTGAAATGAGGAAATTATGCACCATCAGGCTTTAAAAGGGGTCATTGGATTTTGGGCTCCTGTATGTGGCTAGACTGCCAAAAAGTCTGACACGTGGTATCCCCATACTCGGGAGAAGTAGCAGAATATATTTTGAAGTGTAATTGCAAATATACCCATGGCATGTGTGTGTGAGCAATATGCCATTTAAATGACATTTAAAAAAACTTGTGGAAAAAAATAAATCTTCCATGGACTCAACATGCCTCTCAGCAAATAGCTTAGGGTGTCTACTTTCTGAAAAGGAGTCGTTTGGGGGTGTTTGTACTGTCCTAGCATTTTAGCACCTCAAGGCAGTCAAAGTTAAAGCTGCGTAAATTCCAGCATCTATACCATAGTTTGTAGATACTATAACTTTCACACAAACCAATTAATATACACTTATTGGGATTTTTTTTTTACCAAAGACATGTAGCAGAATACATTTTGGCCTAAATGTATGAAGAAATTTGAGTTTATTAGCTATTTTTTATAACAGAAAGTAGAAAATGTTGCCCTCTTTCAAAATTTACAGTCTTTTTTTCATTCATATCACAAATCCCATTGGTGATCAAATACCACCAAAAGAAAGTTCTATTTATGTGAAAAAAAGGAAATGCATTTTGTTTGGGTACATCATTGCATGACTGTGCAATTACTAGTGGAAATGGCGCAGCACTGAATAGCCTCGTCAGAACAGGGGAGGGGGGGGGGGGGTAAAACTTCCTGAGGGCAAGTGCTTAAAAAAAGATTACCATCATGGCAAGCAAAACCTGATATAGCTTTTGATGTGCCTTTGGTTTTCTGAAATCAAATGCTTTCCTTGAAGCTTGATCATTAGGAGGCATAGCTACACGCTTTTCACACATTTCACTCTTTGACTTTAGTCTCACAAGAAAACAATCTGCATTTATAATGTTTCCAAGAATCAGACACTTTCTTGGTCTCATTGTTTGTAGCTAATATATCTTTTTAAAGAAGAACATCCACCAATTTCATAGGAAATTTTCCTTTTGTTATGGCCCGGTTTTGCCTGATACAGGATTCATTCACCCTGATTTTACATCAAATTTGCTATATTTTACTGTAGAAAAAAATGACAACAGATTTATCTTGACAATATAGTGTGTAGCACTACCCCCTTAGGATATGCTGAAGAATTTGGGTCCCCCTATAGTCCTGCGCAGCCAGGCAACACGCATTTCCACACCAATTTGCACTCATGAGTCAGTAACCAGTCCTCGAGCTTGTTTTTTGATGTTTATTAGGGGGTTTTCAACTTGGATAGGGTAAGGGATGTATTGGATGCCCAATGGGACTGAGAAACCGAGGACAACTTCCTGATCTATGTACAAGTGATTATAGAAAAACAGTCTCTTCTAGAGAGCTAGGCAGCATCTTCTGCAGTGCTACCCCAGATAAATCCTCTTCTTTACCCAGCTGTCTGGAGGAATCCCTGAGCAGGGGATCCAGTGCCTGACACATGGATAGTGAAACAGTCCTCGGTGGCAGGCTAATCCAGCTGCCCAACAGAGTACCTCCTTCCCCTATCTGGCCCAGGGGGTGCAGGTCTACTCATTCAGTCCTTCTCTTGTGCTGGTGGTGGGTCGGCGGCAGCTACCAGACCTTTTAGCCTGCCTCACAGGTGGTCTCATGGGGCAAGTAAAGTCCTGAGCTTTCCTCCTTCCAAGGCCCTGTGCATGTATGTGAACCCTTCTCCATCTGGGCCCCCTCACAGGCTCCTCTCTCCAGCCTCACTCCATCTTAAACTTCCAACTTTGAACTTCACTGCTGCTGAGCAGGCTCCCTCACTCTTAAAGGTTGTCCTGTCCCTTTGCCAAGCCTGCTGTTGGGGATTGGCCAGGATCCTCCAAGAGTACAGACCAGCCACTCCTCAGATCCACCTACTGCTTCTAGACCTTTCTCCAAAGCTCTACACCAGAGGGCTGGTCTGCAGAGCTTCTCAGCTCTGACTGGCAAATTGACACCTGCTAGCTATCACACCCAGGCTTCTATTCAGCCCTCCTTGCTAACAATTGGAGTCTATTAAATCTAAACTTGGTATTAAACCTAAAAAGAAAATTGTAATATAATGGATCTTACCTATCCTTAAATACGGTTGCTGCATTTGTTTTCTTTTTTCCCTTGTTTTATTTACTGTGAGTCTGGGGAGAGAGTAGCGTTAAAGTGGAACTTCACCCTAAACAGGGGGGGAGGAGGTGCCCACTCCCACTTCTGCTGGAATTGCCTTGGCAATTCCATCAGAAGTTGCCCCGCCATATCACAGGTCCTAAAAGGTTGTGGGACCATTCATAAAGTGCTATGAGGCTTGCACATGCACAGTGGGAAGCCGGCTGTGAAGACACAACAGCTGGCTTCCCACACTAAGCATGCTGGCACCAGGGACACAAAGACCAGCAAAGACCCGGGTGGGCATGGCGCTGAATCCTTGAACAGCTAACTGTCCTTTTATTAAAGCCAGCAGCTACAGTATTTGTAGCTGCTGACTTGTAATTTTTTTTTTTCTAGAGACTGAAGATCATCTTCAAAGTGGCCATACACTATTAGATTTGTGGATGAACATTCATACAAATATTTGTACAATATTCACAAGTACTTCAAAATGTTTGCTTTTAACATTCAATTTTAGAATGAATGGACTTTCCCAAATGAAAACCAAATACACTGTTAGAAATTTGTTTAAAAAATGTTTCTCGTCACAAAAACAAACGTCCATTTGACCGCACTAACAATTAGAAAATCAAAAGAACATTCTTAAAACAAAAAAACTTCTACTACTATATAGCCAGCTTTAGATTCCCAAGTGGATTAGGATTGACTTGACTAACAAATAAAAGCTAAACTCCAGATAACACTTTAAAAACCGTTACAACACCATTTTTTTCCCAGGTTTTACATAAATGAATAAAAGCTGATCATTGTGCTCACCCCTGTCAGTGGTGAAAGGTTTCTCTCAACACGCTAAGTGACACTTTTATTGGACAGCTTGGTCTGTTAAAGAAGTTGAAAAGTTGAGAAACAACTGAATTACTGATCGGATCAACAGGTGAAAGTAAGCCCTAATTCTCACAGGTTTACCAATGTGTACATCTGTGCAAAGGGGGCTGGGGATGCACAGGTATTCTGTACAGTGGCATGCAGGCAACCTGTTGAAATCAATGATAGGCAGCCAGCTGCACGGACCTTCATATGCATCCCAGAGTCTACATCTATGCGGGTCTGA